TTTTTTTTTTTACTACGTTTGATTAAGTAATTTAAGGTTGTGTTTGACACCCATTTTGGAAAAGAGTCTGATTTGGAATAGTGATTGATGGAAGAATGTGTGGTTAAAAAGTAAGAAGAATTTTTGGATTTATGTGTAATATTATTTTATTTGGAGAATATGTGGTTAGAATTGAGTACTGTAGAAAAATGAGAATGAGAATGAGATAAAAAATGGGTGTCAAACGGGGGCTTATTATATTATGGATTATGTTAAATCTAGAAAGCCACGTGATGTTTTTTGGGTTTCTACCTTGAGCTTTGCTATATTTACACGGAAGTTGATACTCGTGTACAAGAGGGGGGCTGCCCACAATTATTTTAATCACTGTGGGCTGCCTCCCCTATTGTGAGGGGCGTGTCAACTCTCGTGTACATTTAGCATTTTTTTTCTAGAAAAATACTATTCATCCTCAGTGGGAATGTATCCTCAGTTTATGTGGATGTAAATGATTGGTTAAATGATATGTGAAATTGAATCACTTATTTAATTTCATATATCATTTAATGTCACATTAACCATATAGATTGGGGATGCATCCTTATTGGAAATGAATAGCATTTCTCTTTTTTCTATCTTTGATGTAATGTCTAAACTAAAGTGCCACATCATTTTGACGTGCTATGTTGTCTATGTGATTTGCAAAAGTAGGCAATCAGGAGGACAAAGTAAATTGAATTAAGTTATCTAACGTGGTCCACTTAGACTAGTTGCATTATTGCATAAAATAAATTAATATCGTCTTCGATATATATTAAAATCAGATTAAAATTGAAAAATTAATCGTTATTAGTGACTCTTGTTAGAAGAGTGAGACTCAATAACGACTATATTTTCAATTTTAATTGGATTTTAATCAATCCAAACATGCTCTAAATATTTGTAAGGCAAAATATCCTCCTTTCCTCACATATATCTTCTGTTTTTCAACTGCAACGACATAAGAGCAGCTAATGGATTCTCAAGGTGCCACACTCCCTCCTCATGTACTCATTTTTCCGGTACCAATTCAGGGCCATGTGAAGTCCATGCTCAATCTAGCCGAACTCCTCTGCCTTTCTGGCCTTGACATTACATTCATGGTCTCTGATTTCAGCCACAACCGCCTCCTCAAGCACACCACAGTCGTTTCGCGTTTCAACCAGTATCCTGGGTTCCGTTTCCAGTCCATCACCGATGGGCTTCCTGATGACCATTCTCGAGCTGGCCAGGAAGTCATGGATCTCCTGCCTTCTACCAAGAACATAACGGCACCACTCTTCAAGCAGATGATGGTTGAGAAGAACTTATTCGCCTCTGAAACCCGAAGGCCAGTTACTTGCATCATAGCTGACGGGTCCCTGCCATTTGCCGGCGATTTTGCTTTAGAGAAAGGGATTCCCCTCATATATTTTCGTACTAGTAGTGCTTGCTCCTTTTGGGCTTATTTTTGTATACCTGAACTCATTGAAGCCGGTGAAATTTCCGTTGAAGGTGTCCACTCTCTTTCCTGATATCAATCTGTTTAAATTACACAAAAGAGAGGCGTATTTAGCCCCTGTTTCACCCTCGTTTTCTATAAAATAAAATTTGTGAAAACGTAATTTTTTAAATAAAATATGAAAAAAAAATTTACATTTACATGTAAAATTATTTTATTAAAAATATACGTAATCAAAAATAATTTTTAGAAAAAATAAATTTTAAAGAATGAGATTCTCTTTAAGAATTTTGCAGGTATTGGCATGGACCAAATCATAGAAAGTGTGCCGGGAATGGAAGGTTTTTTAAGATTCCGTGACTTGCCCAGCTTTTGCCGTGTCAACGACATTAATGATCCAAACCTTCACATTATGAAATCCGTGACTAGACAGACCACAAGAGCGCAAGCAGCCATTTTTAACACTTATGAAGATCTAGAAGGGTCAGTAGTATCTCATATACGCAAGCACATACCAAAAATCTTCACCATTGGACCAAATCATTTCCTCCTGAAGTCGAGACTCGCAGAAAAGAAGGCCGATAACTCAATTCTTTCAGGAAGCTTTTGGGCGGAAGACCGGAGATGTCTCGATTGGCTTAATGCACAGCCACCAAAATCAGTAATCTATGTTAGTTTTGGAAGCATTACAGTTGTGACAAGAGAGCAGCTATTGGAGTTCTGGCATGGATTGGTAAATAGTGGACAAAGGTTCTTGTGGGTCACGAGGCCAGATTCAATTGTAGGGGAAGATGGGAAGAATCAAACTCCAATAGAATTAGAGGAGGGTACAAAGGCAAGGGGTTACATGGTAGGATGGGCACCTCAGGAAGAAGTGCTGAACCACGAGGCGGTGGGCGGGTTTTTGACTCATAGTGGATGGAACTCGACTCT